TATATAGCAATAAGTGCCCATATGAGGAGAATGGAGAGATCCAAAATTGACACCCTATCATCAAAATTGAAAGAGCTAGAGGACCAAGACCAAAAAAAACTCAAAACCCAGCAGAAGACAAGAAATAACTAAGATCAGAGCTGAACTGAAGGAGATTGAGACACGAAAAACCCTTAAAAAAATCAATAAATCCAAGAGCTGGTTTTTTGAAAAGATCAAAAAAATAGACAGACCACTAGCCAGATTTATTAAAAAGAAAAGAGAGAACAACCAAATAGATGCAATAAAAAATGATAAAGGGGAAATCACCACAGATTCCACAGAAATTCAAACCATCATCAGAGAATATTACAAACAACTCTATGTGCATAAACTAGTAAACCTGGAAGAAATGGACAAATTCCTAGATTCCTGTGTCCTCCCAAGCCTAAACCAGGAGGAAGCTGAAACTATGAATAGACCAATAACAAGGTCTGACGTTGAGGCATCAATTAAGAGCCTACCACACAAAAAAAGCCCAGGTCCAGACGGGTTCACAGCCGAATTCTACCAGACACACAAGGAAGAGCTGGCACCATTTCTTCTAAAACGATTTCAAACAATCCAAAAAGAGGGAATCCTTCCCAGATAATTTTATGAGACCAACATCATTCTGATACCAAAACCCGGCAGAGACCCAACAAGAAAAGAAAACTTCAGGCCAATATCCATGATGAACATAGATGCAAAAATCTTCAATAAAATATTAGCAAGCCGATTGCAACAGCAAATCAAAAAACTTATTCATCATGATCAAGTAGGATTCATCCCGGGGATGCAAGGCTGGTTCAACATACGCAAGTCTATCAATGTAATTCACCACATAAACAGAACCAAAAACAAAAACAACATGATTATCTCAATTGACGCAGAGAAGGCATTTGACAAAATTCAACAGCCCTTTATGCTAAAAACCCTCAATAAACTCGGTATCGATGGAACGTATCTCAAAGTAATAAAAGCTATTTACGACAAACCAACAGCCAATATCATACTGAATGGGCAAAAACTGGAAGCATTCCCTTTGAAATCTGGCACTAGACAAGGATGCCCGCTTTCACCACTCCTATTCAATATAGTACTGGAAGTTCTAGCCAGAGCAATCAGGCAAGAAAAAGAAATAAAGGGTATTCAAATAGGAAAGGTGGAAGCCAAATTGTCTCTCTTTGCAGACGACATGATAGTATACCTAGAAGACCCCATTGCCTCAGCCCAAAAACTCCTGAAACTGATAAGCAACTTCAGCAAAGTCTCAGGATATAAAATCAATGTGCAAAAATCACAAGAATTCGTCTACACCAATAACAGACTTAAAGACAGCCAAATCAAGAGCGAACTGCCATTCACAATTGCTACAAAAAGAATAAAATACCTTGGAATACAACTCACAAGGAACGTAAGAGACCTCTTCAAGGAGAACTACAAACCACTGCTCAACGAAATCAGAGAGGACACAAACAGATGGAGAAACATTCCATGTTCATGGTTAGGAAGAATTAATATCGTGAAAATGGCTATACTGCCCAAAGTAATTTACAGAATCAACGCTATCCCCATCAAGCTACCATCGACTTTCTTCACAGAACTGGAAAAAACCACCATGAACTTCATATGGAACCAAAAGAGAGCCCGCATAGCCAAGTCAATTCTAAGCAAAAAGAACACAGCGGGGGGCATCACACTACCGGATTTAAAACTATACTACAAGGCTACAGTAATCAAAACAGCATGGTACTGGTACCAAAACAGAGATATAGACCAATGGAACAAAACAGAGGCACCGGAGGCAACACAACATACATACAACTATACAATCTTTGATAAACCTGACAAAAACAAGCAATGGGGAAAGGATTCCATGTTTAACAAATGGTGTTGGGAAAACTGGCTAGCCATGTGCAGAAAGCAGAAACTGGACCCCTTCCTGACACCTTACACTAAAATTAACTCCAGATGGATTAAAGACTTAAACATAAGACCTGGCACCATAAAAACCCTAGAAGGAAATCTAGGCAAAACTATCCAGGACATAGGAGTAGGCAAGGACTTCATGAACAAAACACCAAGAGCATTGGCAACAAAAGCCAAAATAGACAAATGGGACCTAATGAAACTCCACAGCTTCTGCACGGCAAAAGAAACAGTCACTAGAGTGGATCGGCAACCAACAGAATGGGAAAAAATTTTCGCAGTCTACCCATCTGACAAAGGGCTGATATCCAGAATTTACAAACAACTCAAGCAGATTTACAGGAAAAAAACAAACAAGCCCATTCAAAAGTGGGCAAAGGATATGAACAGATACTTTACGAAAGAAGACATATATGAGGCCAACAATCATATGAAAAAATGCTCATCGTCACTGGTCATCAGAGAGATGCAAATCAAAACCACATTGAGATACCATCTCACGCCAGTTAGAATGGCGATCATTAAAAAATCTGGAGACAACAGATGCTGGAGAGGATGTGGAGAAAAAGGAACACTTTTACACTGTTGGTGGGAGTGTAAATTAGTTCAACCATTGTGGAAGACAGTGTGGCGATTCCTCAAGGCCTTAGAAATAGAAATTCCATTTGACCCAGCAATCCCATTACTGGGTATATATCCAAAAGACTATAAATCGTTCTACTATAAGGACACATGTACACGAATATTCATTGCAGCACTGTTTACAATAGCAAAGACCTGGAATCAACCCAAATGCCCATTGATAATAGACTGGATTGGAAAAATGTGGCACATATACACCATGGAATATTATGCAGCAATCAGAAACGATGAGTTCGTGTCGTTTGTAGGGACATGGATGAATCTGGAAAACATCATCCTCAGCAAACTGACACAAGAACAGAAAATGAAACACCGCATATTCTCACTCATAGGTGGGTGATGAAAAATGAGAACACATGGACACAGGGAGGGGAGTACTAAACACTGGGGTCTATTGGGGGGGAAAGGGGAGGGCCAGTGGGAGGGGGAGGTGGGGAGGGATAGCCTGGGGAGAAATGCCAAATGTGGGTGAAGGGGAGAAGAAAAGAAAGCACACTGCCATGTGTGTACCTACGCAACTGTCTTGCATGCTCTGCTCATGTACCCCAAAACCTATAATCCAATAAAAAATTAAAAAAAAAAAGAAAAATGAGAACACATGGGCACAGGGAGGGGAGTACTGAATACTGGGGTTTATTGGGGGGAAAAGTGGAGGGCCAGTGAAGGGGGGAGCTGGGGAGGTGAAGGGGAGAAAGGAAGCAAAACAGACTGCCATGTGTGTACCTATGCAACTGTCTTGCATGTTCTGCACATGTACCCCAATACCTAAAATGCAATAAAAAATTTAAAAAAAAGAAAATATACATATTTTCAAGGGTGTAAACTTGTCACAAGTCAATGACTAACTGTCTTTGTTTAAACCTATTTTTTTCTCCTGCCTTTATCTTCCCATGCCAAAACTAATATAAGCAAGGAATTTTCCTTTATGTGGGGCTGGCAGGCATTACAGGCAGTAAGGCCACTGTCAGCTGGAGCTCCAATAAAGATGTTCTCTTGTGTCTCTTGGTCTCTCTGTTCTTCTCGGCATGAATTTCCACAACAGGCAGAGGAAATTTCCCAATGTTCCTTAAGTTCTTTTTTTTTCCTGAGAATATCCTGTAGCTATTTTATTTTTCTACCATTTTTTATTGTCAGTTATATAAGAATTACATTTATTCATAAATGCTAAATCTAAGCATTATATTAGTTGCTTTTTTTTTTTTTTGAGACAGGGTCTCACTCCATCACTCAGGTTAGAGGGCAGTGGGACAATCAAGACTCACTGCAGCCTTGGTTTTCTGGGCTCAGGTGATCCTCCCACTTCAGCCTCCTGAGTAGATGAGACTAGAGGCGCACATCCCAACACCCGGCTAAATTTATTTGTAATTTTTGTAGAGATAGGGTTTTGCCATGTTGCCCAGGCTGTTCTGGAACTCCTGAGCTCAAGTGACTCACCCACCTCGGCCTCCCAAAGCAATGGGATTACAGGCGTGAGCCACTGCACCTGGCCTTGTACCAAGCACTTCTACATACATCACTGAGCTCATTTATATCATAATTCTGAAAGGAGAGGTCAAAAATATGCAAGCTGCAGGATTTTCCCCAGGTCCTCTTACTTTACTTCTAGTGCTCGTCCACCAAATCATGGTTACTTCTGTGTTGTAAATATGTAAATATAAAAGAAGCTTTTTATTTCAAAACACCAGTGGTAAAAAAGAAGTTATAGAGCTTTTCTTAGAAAATCCTCAGACTATCTGCTATTGCAATAACTTCTGTTTCCTCTTTACAGTGTTTGAAACAGAAATAAGCATGAAACAGGGAAAAATACACTGAAGTAGTTTTCTAAGAACAAAATAGTTATCAACAAATCATCACTAAGTTTCTGTTATAGCATATCATTGTTTTCAAAGCTCTTTGTGCTGAAATGAGATGCTACTTGGAGCAAACTGTGATGTCCCCAAAAGTAAGGGGTATGGCATCTGAAGTACGGCCTCTGAACTGGCTATACATTTCATCCTTACTACCAGTAGAAATAATCATCTAACCTCTCCATTAATATATTAGAAAGATGAAATCATGTCTGAAAGCTGGAATGTTTGTTGTTAGCAAGGGTTTTGAGATTGTGGAAAGATCATTAATTCCTATCAATAATAACAAATGTTTCTCCTTTGGATAAGGCCACTGTGAAAGTCACTACTTGACCCTTGCAGACAAATGAAGTTGAATTAAGAAAATGACGTTATACAATGGGCCGAAAATTCCAGAACCACTGTCACCACCCCCAAATATGTCTGTGTGTGTGTGTGTGTGTGTGAGAGAGAGAGAGAGAGAGAGATTCAAAAATCCATTAGAATTCCAAGTTGAATAGAGTTGTTTTTAAAATTATATTCACCTACAAAAGCATATCTGAAAATGGCCAAAGAAAATACCTCAGAATCCATTTTCTTTTGAGCCGTTTCTAGCTCCTTTTGTTTACTGGTCAGAATCTGATCTTGTACTATTCTGGCATTCTGTTCTTCAAAAAGTTGCTGCTGGGCATCTGTTTGCTGCTGCTTGACATAGAGATAACATAGAGGTGTTTGTCTAATAGCACTGAAAAAAAAGACTAAAGGGTTAATTAAGAGCAGAGCCTCACTTGACTGAGCATGGTGGCTCATGCCTGTAATCCCAGCACTTTGGGAGGCCAAGGTCTGAGGATCATGAAGTCAGGAGATGGAGACCATCCTGGCCAACATAGTGAAACCCCATCTCTACTAAAAATACAAAAATTAGGCATGGTGGTGCACGCCTGTAGTCCCAGCTACTTCGGAGGCTGAGGCAGGAGAATCACTTGAACCTAGGAGGCAGAGGTTGCAGTGAGCCGAGACTGCACCACTGCACTGCAGCCTGGATAACAGAGTGAGACTCTGCCTAAAAAAAAAGTGAGAAAAAAAAAAAAAACAGAGCCCCTCTTATAAAATGGTTAAAAGAAAGTAGCCTGTTAAAACACAAGAACTTTTATCCCTCAAGAATCACTCAAATCTTAATTGCATACATAACAATTACATTTGTCAAAGAGGAAAAACAGTTCTTAAATACGGGAAGATACAGCATTGTAAAATAAAATTTCTTTCAAAACATTTAACTAGTGTCATTATAGTTTCAAAGCTATTTAGCCTGTATTTTAACATAAAAATGTGTAAACTCATTTAGTGATTAAACTCTTCTTCCATTCTGAAAACATAAACTGAGCATCTATTTAGATGCCAAGGTTTACAATAAATAATTTGAGCTATAAATGTCATAGTTCATTTTTAAGAGGAGATAACAGTTTTGGTTTGTTTTAAACCTAAATGATATACACGAAGCCAAAAAAAGTATAAGCAATACTGATGAAACATTAAGTTAGAAATACGAAGTTTTCACCAAAGATTAATTTACCAGATCCAAGTTGTTTCTTACCATCCTCAATTCCTTAATGAGTTTTCTCAGAGTCCATTGAAGTTCTTGAATCATTTCAGCCTTTCCCCTACATTCCTCTTCTTTTATTCTTAACTGTTCATTAACTTTATTACACAACATTTCGGCATTTTCTTTCTTCTCTTTTTCTTGTTTTAAGGCAAGTCTGCAGTTAAATATGGATATTAAAATGTGTTTTGTTAGAAAATAAACATGTTTATTTTGTCATCTGGCTCTTCCATGTGGGTTTATAATCCTCATAAAAACTCCTATGTTCTTGTTTCCTTTCTAGTTCTCATGTTTTTAATTTCTCACTCCATTCTCTTCCGAGGGCCATATATGTTAGCGAAGTAGCGAGGAAAGAAACATTCTGTTAACTGGTAAGTTTCTGTTACTAGTAAACCTGTGAAGAGCATATTTGAATTTTCTCAGCAAAGTTACAAGTTGAAAATTACTTCTTTTTCATGTTTTGCAAATTGAAAATTAGTTAATTAGATCATTTAGAGTTAGCTAACTTAAAATAAGTTACTATTTACAAACAAGTTTAGAAATTCACTAGAAATACATTTTCCTCTTTATGAAATATTGTATGTGTAGCCTGAAAAATGACTTACAGTGTAAGATAACACCTTCAGATGTCATTCACACAACGTGTGTCTGCAGACTCCTATAATCCAAGACTAGGCTAAGCTGTTTAATAACTGTTACCCCCATACTTTTTATGTCTCTCTTTTTGGTAACACTTTCAACTTATCTCCTTGATTCTTATGCATTTTATAAACAATGTTTTAATTCCTTTTGGAACAAGAGAGGATCTAATATTTCATTTAAAAGTAAAGGATAATGTGTGTTCCAACGTCTAATTTGGAATTAATTTTATCTGCATACAAAGATGTGGAATAAACTAATCATCAATTACTTTCCATTTTACTTTTTATTTCATGCATATTTAGAATAAAAATGGGAAGTCCTAGCCAGAGCAATCAGTCAAGAGAAAGAAAGAAAGTACATCCAAATTGGAAAAGAGAAAGTCAAACTATCTGTTTGCCCAAGAGATAATCTTTTAGCTTAGAACACCCTAAATGCTCCTGGATTTGATCAATGAAATCAGTAAAAGTCTCAGGTTACAAAATCAATGTACACAAATCAGTAGCACTAGTATACATCAAGAATGGCCAAGGTGAGAATCAAATCAAGAACCTAGTCCCTTTTATGATAGTGATGGCAACAACAACAAAAAATTAACCTTTTAGGATCTTTCACCTCCTTGGTAACCAAGATAAAAGATCTCTAAAAGGAGAACTACAAAGCACTGCTGAAGACATCTTTCATAGGAAAAAAGGAAATCACAGATGACACAAACAAATGGAAATATGCCCTTTGTTCATAGAAGAATTAATATATTGAAAATGACCATATTAACCAAAGCAATTTCCAGATTCAATGCAATTCCTATCAAAATACTACTGTCATTCTTTATAAAATTAGAGAAAGTACTTCTAAAATTTACAAGGAATAAAAAAAGAACCCGACTAGCTGAAGCAATCCCAAGCAAAAAGAATGAAGCCAGAGGCATCACAATACCAGATTTCAAACCACACGAGAAGCCTAAAGTAACCAAAACAGCATGGTACTGGTATAAAAGTAGATACACAGACCAGTGGAACAGAATACAGAACGTAGAAATAAAGCCAAATATGTATAACCAACTGACCTTTCACAAAGTGTACAAAGACATAAACCGGGCAAAGAACACCCTATTCAATAAATGGTGTTGGGAAAATTGAATAGCTACATATAGAAGAATGAAACTGGATCCCTATCTCTCACCATATATAAATATTAACTCAAGATGGATTAGGCCCTAACATGGTGGCTTCTGTCTGTAATCCCAGCACTTTGGGAGGCCAAGGCTGGAGAATGGCTTGAGCCCAGGAGTTCAAGACCAGCATGGACAACATAGTGAGATCTTGTCTCTACCAAAAAATATTTTTTATTTTTAATTAAAAAAGAGATGAATTAAAAACTTAAATCTATAACCTGAAACCACAAAAAAATCTGGAAGAAAGTGTAGGAGAAAACTCTTCTGGACACTGGCCTAGGCAAATTATTTATGACAAAGACCCCAGAACAAAAAGCAACAAAAACAAAAATAAATACATGGGACCTAATTAAATGAAAAGTCTTCTGCACAGCAAAAGAAATAATCATAAGAGTAAACAGACAACCTACAGAATAGGAGAAAGTATTTGCAAACTATGCATCTGACAAGGGACAAACAAAGCAGCAAGAAAAATATAAATAATCCCATCAAAAAGTGCACAAATGACATGAACAGGGGAGGGCCAGTGGGAGGGGGAGGTGGGGAGGGATAGCCTGGGGAGAAATGCCAAATGTGGGTGAAGGGGAGAAGAAAAGCAAAGCACACTGCCATGTGTGTACCTACGCAACTGTCTTGCATGCTCTGCTCATGTACCCCAAAACCTATAATCCAATAAAAAATTAAAAAAAAAAAAACTAGAACAGACATTTCTCAAAAGAAGATGCACAAATGGCCAACAAACACAGTTAAAAATTCCCAACATCACTAATATTCAGGGAAATGCAAACTAAAATAACAAGGAGATATCCCCGTATTCCCAGCCAGCATCCTCATTATTGAAAACAATAGAAAGATGTTGGTGCAGATGTGGTGAAAAGGGAATGCCTGCTCATACATTGCTGATGGGAATGAAAATTAGTACAACTTCTATGAAAAACAGTAGGAAGATTTCTCAAAGAGCTAAAATAGAGCTACCATGCACTCCAACAATCCCCTATTGAGTATCTACCCAAAGGAAAAGATATCATTACATCAAAAAGACATCGGCAAATGTTTGTTTACTGCAGCACATTTTGCAATTGCAAAGATATGAAATCGACCTCAGTGTCCGTCAACCAGTGAATGGAATAAATGATACGTGGTATATGTACACCGTGGAGTACTCCTCAGCCATAAGAAGAATGAAGTAATGCCTTTTGCAGCAACTTGGAAGGGACTGGAGGCCATTATTCTAAGTGAAGTAACTCAGGAATGGAAAGCCAAATAAAAATACGTTCTCATTCATAATAGGGAGTTAAGCTATTCATCCATGTAACCAAAAACCACTTGCATCCCTTAAAGCGATGAAATACACCAAAGTTCTGAAAAACTGTAAAAGTGTAGACATTTAAAAAAAATTACTTTGGTTTTAGAAAAGTGGTCAATTCATGCTCTATTGGTTGGACTGTAAATTAACACAAACATTCTTGAGAAAAATGAATATTGATCAAAGGTCTTTTTAAAAAAGTTCCTGTATTTCAACCTAATAATTCTATATTGGATAATTTATTCAAAGCAAACAGTTTAGAAATGCGAGATTTATATAAAAAATGTTATGGGCTGGGCATGACGGCTCATGCCTGTTATATTAATGACTTGGGAGGCCAAGGCAGAAGGAACGCTTGAGGTTGGGAGTTGGAGATCATCTTGAGCAATGTAGTGAGATCCTGTCTCTACAAAAAACTTAAAAAGTTAGCCAGGCATGGGAACAGGCACCTGTAGTCCCAACTACTTAGGACGCTGAGGCAGGAGGATGAATTTCGAGGCTGCAGGGAGGTATGATCACACCACTGAACTCCAGCCTCAGGCACAGAGTGAGACCCTGTGTCTATAAATAATAATAATGAGAAAAGATGCTCCTTACATCATTAATTATAAATACAAGATAATTTCAAAACTCAAATTGCAATTCGTTAAATGAATAACAAGATTTCATATGCTGGACTTCTACATGGCCATTAAGATTGCAAAGACTATGCATTTATTTATTAGCAGAGGAGTTCACAGTTAAAATAATTTATTATTTCCAAGAATTTCATGTTCCACAAGACCAAGAAGGTTTCTTCCATTAATCCCCAGAAGGCAAGTCAGAAATTATAAAAATTCTAATATATTATCTTTAGTATAAATATTTTTTTTAAAACTAGAATGTGGCACATATATACCATGGAATACTATGCAGCCATAAATAATGAGTTCAAGTCCTTTGCAGGGACATAGATGAAGCTGGAAACCATCATTCTCAGCAAACTGACACAAGAACAGAAAGCCAAACACCTCATGTTCTCACTCATTAAGTGGGTGTTGAACAATCGGAAAACATGGACACAGGGAGGGGAACATCATACATTGAGGCCTATTTGGGGGTTTGGGGTCTACAGTAGGGATATCAGGAGGTTGGGGGGCTAGGGGAGGGATAACATTAGGAGAAATATCCAATGTAGATGATGGGGGGATGGATGCAGCAAACCAACATGGCACACGTATACCTATGTAACAAACCTGCACGTCCTGCACGTGTACCCCAGAATTTAAGTATAATAATAAACAAAACAAACATAAACTTGAGTGTCATACCTCAACCTGCACAGCTCTCGTTCCCATTCGATCTTCTGATGCTCTAACTGTAATTTTGTCTCTTTTGTTTCAGAGATTTCCTTTTGTAGTACACTAACCATATTTCCCATTTGTTTAATTTCTGCTGTAAGTCGTTCATCCTCATTATTCTTAAGTTCCAGGAAGTCTTCATATAAATGAAATACATTCTCAATTCTTGATAGGCTAACAGACTCTGTGTCAGGGAGAAAACAAGGTGGAAATAAAATATGTGAGTACTTTTTAGGTAAAAAGGACTGTGCATTTTTAAACACTGTCTCCTTCATACACAGAACAAACAGGCACTGAGTGCCTACAGTGTGGCAGATATTCCACTAAGCTCTGCAGGTAAAACAAATGAGACCTCTACTCTCATTTAGTCTTAAGTGTAGTGGGGAATGAAGACAACAAAAGTGACAATTATAAATTCACATAGATGGTGTAAGAAATCAGAGTTCCATGATCACATAGGAGAATTTGATCTATACTGGGCCCACGAAAGATTTCCCTGAGGAAGAGATGACTACACCAAGAAATCAAGGGTGAGAAGGAAGCACTTAAGCAAAGGGGTAGAAAAGCATTCTAGCAGTTGACAGCAGGTGCCGACGCTCTGCTGCCATCTGCTTCTGGCCACGATGGAAAGCAAGTACTGATTTACCTTCTTGCCTGAAATAACCAAAAGGAAAACAGAAAAAATATATTATACAATGATTTACCAGGCATTGGACTTCAGGTAATGAAGACCATGATCCCGTAAGACAGGAAACAAATGGAATTCATAATGATGCTCCAGCTTCCTGCCTTCACAGAGTTTCCAGGCTATCACACACAGAGAAAAAAGTGACATGGAGTCTACCAGATTCCCTGAGATGAGACAATGAAGCTGAGAGTCTGGTGAAGCCTAGGCAGGCAGAGGTTACAAAACAGAACACGGGAAAGGAGACAGAGTACAGGGAAAGAACACTGAAGATCTGCAAAAATACCTCCTGGGTATCTAGCAGAGTACTGAACAGTGCATGTGTGCCAGAAAACTGCCCCAGACCAAGGGGAAGAAACATCTAAAAAAAACTGGAAAGAAACACGCCTGCTGCTCATAAGGTGCCAAAAAGAGTGTCCATTCCCATGAGTGATGCTGGGAAAACTCTGACTTCACATGGGAATGAATAGAGCCATCACAAAGATCTTGCCTCAGGAGTGGGAGATTCAACCCAATCATAAAGGGAAGACCGGAAAGATCAAGCTGTTCATATGGAACTCAACTTATATCAAAATTAAGCTCAAGCAGATTGGCAGAGGCATGGAAGATACATATTTTTTTAAAGCAAAATGCTCTTCTAGAGATTCAAATTACAATGTCAGGAATGAAAACTACAATGGATGGAAGTGAACACAGATTAGACATCACCAAAGAGAAGTTTCATAAATTTGAGACATCAGTGAACTACGTGAAAACTTCAAACAGGAATAAGTCCCAAAAGAGGAAAAAAGAGAGACAGGAAAATAAAAAGAGAATGGCCAAAACTTTTTAAATGGAAAGAAAACTATAACCCTACAAATCCAGAAGAGTCTTCTGGCTGGGAGAGAGGAAATAAAAGTATATTATTCTAATTTTCCTTTTTAAAAAAATGTCAATTGGTTTTTGGGGAACAGGTGGTCTTTGATTACATGAATCAATTTTTTAGTGGTGGTTTCTGAGATTTTGGTGCACTCAAGCATAACACAAGCAGCATACACAATATCCAATCCATAGTCTTTTATCCCTCACCCCGCCACAAACTTTGCCCCCAAGTCCCCAACCTCCATTGTATCATTGTTATGTTCTTGCATCCTCATAGCATAGTTCCCGCTTATGAGTAAGAACATATGGTGTTTGGTTTTTCATTTGTAATTTTCTTATGCCATATGTGACATGGCATAATTTTTGAAGATGGACTGTGATCAGTTAAAATCATATACTATAAACTGTAGTGCAACCACTGAGATAAAAAAATAGTTATCGCTAATAAGCCATAAAAGGGAGATTAAAAATAAATCACAAAAATTACTAGACTAATTGAGAAGAAAGCAGAAAAAGAAGAGAACAAAGAACTGCGGGGACTGATGGAAATCAAAAAGCATGATGACAGATAAACCTAACTGTATCAATAAGCACATTATAAATGAAACTGGCCAAAAATCTCATTTAAAAGGCAGATTATCAGATTGGATAAAAATGCAAGAACCTACTACATGCTTCCTATATAAAAAAAAACTTGAGGCCGGGTGCAGTGGTTCACGCCTCTAATCCTAGTACATTGAGAGGCTGAGACAGGAGGATCACAGGTCAGGAGTTCAAGACCAGCCTGGCCAACATGGCAAAACCCATCTCTACTAAAAATACAAAAAATTAGCTGGGCGTGGTGGCATGCAACTGTAACCCCCAGCTACTCGGGAGGCTGAGGCAGGAGAATCGCTTGAACCCAGGAGGCAGAGGTTGCAGTAAGCCGAGGTTGCACCACTGTACTCCAGCCTGGACAACAGAGTGAGACTCTGTTTCAAAAAAAAAAAAAGAAAAAAAGAAAGAAAGAAAGAAAAGAAAAACACTTTAAATTGAAAAAGACAAATTGTTCAGAAAGACGTTAAAAGATATACCAGGTTAAGAGTTGACAAAAGAAGCCTGAGAAGAAATGGCTATGTTAACACCAAAGTAAATTTCACAGCAAAAATATTTACCAGCTATAAACAGTCATTTCCTCATGACTTTCAAAAGTTCAGTTAATCAAGAACATATAATCTTAAGTGACTGTGTACCTAATAACAGCTTCAAAATATATGCGGCAAAAATTGATAGAACAAATAGACAAATTCTCAAGTACAGTCTGACATTTGAATATTACTCAGTAAGTGATTAAAACAAGGGAGCAGCAAATCAGCAAGAAGCGGGTAGACTTGAACAACACCATGCTTCTCTAGTACCCGGGGAGCACGTTCCAAAACACCCCACATTCTAGGTTCTGCAATCAAGCTTAGCAAAAGAACTAAGTCAGAAAAATTTAACTCATACAAAGTATGTTCTCTGACCACAAAGCAATCAAATTAGAAATCAATAACAAAATATCTCATCAAAATATTCAAATATTTTAAAACAAAGTAACACACATCTAAACAACCCTAGGTCAAAGACACCTGCAAAGAGAAATTAAGAGTATTGTGAACGGAATGAAAATGCAAATACTAAGTATCATCATCTGTGGAACACAGCTAGGACAGTACTTAAAATTTTTTTAGCACTTAATGTCTATATTAGAAGACTTTCAAGTCAATGGTCTTGACTTCTATCTTAAGCAAAGAAGGAGGAGAAGGAGGAAGAGGAGGGGAAAGAGGAGGAAGGAGGAGGAGGAGGATGAGGAAGAAGAAGAAGAAGAAGAAGAATAAGAAGAAGAGGAAGCAGCAGCAGCAGCAGCAGCAGCAGCAACTAAAAAAAGAACAAATTAAACCCAAAGCAAGCAGAGGAAACGACATAATAAACATAGGCGGACTCGGGCGTGCCAGGCCCAACCGCAGCTTCTCGGCTTAAGCACCTCCACTTGCAGCACCGATTCTGAGGCCACCTCCAGCAATGGCCTTTGCAAATCTGTGGAAAGTGCTCATCAGTGACAGCCTGGACCCTTGCTACCGTAGGATCTTGCAAGATGGAGGGCTGCAGGTGGTGGAGAAGCAGAACCTTAGCAAAGAGGAGCTGATAGCCGAGCTGCAGTTCATGGGAACAGAGCTGAATGGAAAGATCCTGGGAATTTTGGGCCTGGGAGGGATTGGGAGGAAGGTGGCTACCCGGATGCAGTCCTTTGGGATGAAGATGATAGGGTATGACCCCATCATTTCCTCAGAGGTCTTGGCCTCCTTTGGTGTTCAGTAACTGCCCCTGGAGGAGATCTGGCCTCTCTGTGATTTCATCACTGTGCACACTCCTCTCCTGCCCTCCACCAAAGGCTTATTGAACAATAGCACCTTTGTCCAGTACAAGAAGGGGGTACGTGTGGTGAACTGTGCCCGCGGAGGGATCGTGGACGATGGCGCCCTTCTCTGGGCCCTGCAGTCTGGCCAGTATGCTGGGGCTGCGCTGGACATGTTTACGGAAGAGCCACCACAGGATCGAAACTTGGTGGACCATGAGAATGTCATCAGCTGTCCCCACCTGGGCGCCAGCACCAAGGAGGCACAGAGCTGCCGTGGGGAGGAAATTGCTGTTCCGTTCGTGGACATGGTGAAGGGGAAATCTCTCACAGGGGTTGTAAATGCCCAGGCCCTTACCAGCGCCTTCTCTCCACACACCAAGCCTTGGATCGGTCTGGCAGAAGCTCTGGGGACACTGATGCAAGCCTGGGCTGGGTCTCCCAAAGGGATCATCCAGGTGATTACACCAGGAACATCCCTGAAGAATGCTGGGAACTGCCTAAGCCCTGCAGTCATCATCGGCTTCTTGAAGGAGGCTTCCAAGCAGGCGGATGTGAACTTGGTGAATGCCAAGCTGCTGGTGAAAGAGGCTGGCCTCAGTGTCACCACCTCCCACAGCCCAGCAGCACCAGGGGAGCAGGGCTTCGGGGAATGTCTCCTGGCCGTGGCCCTGGCAGGCACCCCTTACCAGGCTGCGGGTTTTGTCCAGGGCACCACACCTGTGCTGCAAGGGCTCAATGGAGCTGTCTTCAGGCCAGAAGTGCCTCTCTGCAGGGGCCTGCCCCTGCTCTTATTCTGGACTCAGGCTTCCGACCCTGCAATGCTGCCTACCATGATTGGCCTCCTGGCAGAGGCAGGCGTGCGGCTGCTTTCCTACCAGACTTTACTGGTGTCAGATGGGGAGACCTGGCACATCATGGGCATCTCCTCCTTGCTGCCCAGCCTGGAAGCGTGGAAGTAGCATGTGACTGAGGCCTTCCAGTTTCACTTCTAACCTTGGGGCTCATGGGTCCCTGCCTCTGGGGCTTTTCTGAAGAAACCTATCCACTGTGATCAACAGAGAGAGAAGATCCACATTCTTGGGCTGAACACAGGCCTCTGACACTGCTTAAACAGTGCTCATCTGGCCCTATAGTACAGCAATAACCATCTAATAAAAACCCTACCAGCAAAAGAATAAAAGATAAACATATGCCATGGTTGACATTTGCATCTTCCCAGAACTTAAGTTTGTTGTTTATGCTGAAACTTAATCACAGAGGT